AAGAGGTGCGCGGCAGGGGAGAAGAGAGAATATATAAGATAGCGAAGGACGAGGAATGATGATCATTGTACGTAAAGATTCGGCTCGAGAAGTCACCGTTCGTAACAGGACAGGTGACTGATTTGAATTTGGTGTGCGCCGCAGACTGCTGCAAAAATCTTCGTGTAGTTTGGTTGGCTGGTGATTTGATGAGCAGGATTGTCCCCGACCTCTGCAACACAACCATCGACCTTTGCTCCATCACCCGACGTCTGAGCCCATTGGAAAGAAAGGTATGGCAGCTGGGAAACCGACACAATGTGAGCTCTTCTCTTTTTCTCCGCTTCTCAAGAATGAATTCGAGTGCACGCATGATAGTCGTAATATCGTGAACTCATGACAGTCGGGTAATCCACGGTTTGTAGGATTGCGACCGCTGAGCGACCTTTGTTTGTTCGGGGTTGCCGAATCTGTTTTTTTTTTCTTTTTACTTATTTGTATGTGATTTCTTTATTTTTTACACACACATACATAAATACACACACACACACACACATATGTATATATATCTTTATTGTTGTGGTTAATAAAGAGATGGTTTCGGATTTTGTCTGTAAGCTACGTAATTAAATTTTAAGTTATTTCTTCGTCCCGTCTTAGGCTCTCTAACGCGCGGACATCGCAATCTGCATGCCCGATAGGCATTTTGCCTTCCAAATCTTCGCGTAAATAATTAGTAAATAGAGTTGCGGGAAAATTTTATTGTAAAAACAACTCTCCCTTTACAATATAAAACATGAAATCAGTTATATTTATATAAAATGAGTAAGGAAAATGGATGGAAGTAACTAATCGAATAAGTAAAAAACTATTTAAACAAATTAGAAAAAAGTCATTGTTTTTGAAAACTGGTTGCTCCAATCGATTTTACATGAAAAATTATGACGAAAAAGTATATAAGATTTTTATGTCATTTCACAACTTATTAGTGTAAAACGGTAATAAACATTTGTAGGTCAAAGATTCAGTGTTAATTTTATATAAACAACTACAAAAGACAAAATAAAAAATACGGATATTTTTTTTTATTATGCTCCATTTCCTATAGTTAATTTGATGCTGATGATAGCGTAGATTTTGCTTAGAATTTGGTGTAGACATTTTGACTTTCTATCCTATTGTTTATTGCCATTTTACTCTATCAAATTACGGACAGAAAAATGTTATATGAATTTTCGTCATAATTATTCTTGTAAAATCGAGTGATGTAATCAGTTTTTAAAAATAATGAATTTTTTAGTAATTTTTTTGAATATTTTTTATAAACATATTGCTTGGGCTTTAATTGGTTAATGTCAATTAGTTAAGCCGTGAGGAATAAAATAGCTTCTACCGTTTTCTGTACATTGTTTTATAAAACATTGAAACCGCTGAGGAATAGTGTAACTTCAACATAGTAGAAAATAGCAACATATCATAGAAGTAACTACATATTTGGGGGGAGGGATCATGTTGAGCTAAAAGTTAATTTTAGGCGATCGGCTATGCTAAAAAAAACTGACTTATTACATCTTATAAAAAGGCTTTTAGTAATCAAAAAAATATTGTATCAGTATCGTAGCTAATCGTTTTTTAAAGATTTTAACAAAAAACGGTTAACAAAGTTATTTTTAATAACAACTCGTAGCATTTACCTTAAGATTAACGACAATAATATTATGATTTTCTGACCCTATTATTTATTTTTTATTTATTAACATTTGGAAATATATCTGTGAATTTTCATTAATTATTAAATTGAGATCTGAAGAATTTCTTCTAGTCACTTCTAGTATTACTTCCGATGAAACCTGGATTTTCCAATACGATGTTGAAACATAGCGGCAATTGATTGTCCATAAAGCTGGCTTTGAGGCGCGAGAAAAAACGCTCAGCTAAATCGTGTGAGTGACATCTACGAGTAAAAGTTGGTACGAGGAAAGAAATATTAGGCTTTAAAGAGCGATCAATTGGGCATCAGTAACCGTAGCTCGCAGGTCCGGTGGTTGAACTGTTCGATTGAAAATAGCAGAAGACCCGAGGGTAACAGCAAGGTGACCGCGGTGTTGAAACCTTGTGATTGAGTTGTGGTAGTCGTACCAGTCCGGTCTCAGCATAGCGTAAAACAAAAGGCCTGCTGGCTCGGGAAACAAAGATAGTTGGTCGGATCCGTCGTCTTCGGTGGATGTGACGTAATTTTCCGTCTCCGTTCTGTTCCTTAAGTCTCTGACTCTTTTTTGTGTCCTAACTTTCACTTGTATGTACACCAGTTCACCCTATCTTGGTTAAGATCTCAGGCTTCAATCCTTCGTTATTGTCTCGCCTCGATTCTAAAGCCTTTCTGCGGCTCGTGTTACGCTCTTTTTCTCCTACTGTCGCCTTCTACTCTTCTCTCTCTCTCTCTCTCTCTCTCTCTCTTGCTCTCTCTCTCACTCTCTTTACGCTCTATCTATATTTTTCGACTTTTACATTTGGTCATCTGCCATTACATCCCTCTTCTAACCAACGTTTGAATGTTCACCAAACTTTGCTGTTGTATCCATGCAAGAAGACTGTCATACACAAGACCAGCGAATATAACTGTTAGCCCTGTGACAATGTGAACTAGTAAAAGCTCTTATTTTTTTAAGTAAAATCATTTCTTCTTAATTTAACATTTTAGTATATTTCGTGAGGTGATATCTTTTTCATATTCAGCAGCTTTGTTATTTTTCATGACTAATGTGCAACATGGATTCTTTATGCAAAGGTATTAATCGCATACTGACGTGCGAGAATGAAAACAAATAAATAAGCGCGTTGTGTATTTATGTTTGTAAGTATCCTAATATTAGTACGAAATATTACTGTGTAGTACGAGGGTCGTTTGAAAAGTCCGTGCAAAGTCAGAGAGATGGCGCTACTAGTGCGTATCAAGGTTATTTTCAGTTACTGGCATATCTTGGAAAAGCACACACCAAGTTTCAGCCAGATCGGCCAATTACTTTGCGTTTTACATTCGTTTCAATCAAAGAAATCGAGTGGTTGTAAAAAAATGGATGAAAAAGAATTTCGTGTATTGATTAAACATGACTTTTTCAAAGGCAAAACGCCTCAGGAGATTAAACAGAAGCTTGATAAACATTATGGTGATTGTGCACCTTCGATTAAAATGGTTTATAAGTGGTTCCGAAATTTCCGGAGTGGCCATATGAGCACAAAAGACGCTGAACGTTCTGGACGCCCTGTTGAGGTTACCACTTCAGAAATCATTGATAAAATCTATGATATGGTGATGGCTGTCAGAAGATTGAAGGTGCGTGAGATTGTTAGTACTATAGGCATCTCGAGCGAATGGGTACATAATATTTTGCACCAACATTTGGACATGAAAAAGCTATCCGCTAGATGGGTGCCGCGATTGCTCACGATTGACCAAAAACGAGATCGTGTGAAGTGTTGCAAGAATGGTTTGCAGCTGTTCCAGCAAAATCTGCAAGACTTTAAGCGTCGTTTCATCACTGTAGATGAAACATGGATACATCACTACACTCCTGAGACCAAAGAATAGTCTAAACAATGGGTTACCAAGGGGGAATCTGCTCCGAAAAAGGCGAAGACAATTCCTTCGGCTGGGAAGGTTATGGCGACTGTCTTTTGGGATTCGCAAGGAATAATCTTCATCGACTATCTGGAAAAGGGTAAAACCATTACAGGCAAATATTATTCATCGTTATTTGATCGTTTGAAAACCGAGTTGCTAAAAAACGTCCACGATTGGCCCACAAAAAAGTTCCCTTCCACCACGACAATGCGCCAGCTCACGCCTCAGCAGTTGTGGCCGCAAAACTGATGGAGATAGGGTTCCAACTCGTTTCACATCCCCCCTATTCTCCAGACTTGGCTCCGTTGGACTACTATTTGTTCCCTAATATGAAAAAATGGCTGGCAGGGAAAATATTTTATTCAAACGAGGAGGTGATTGCAGAAACGAATGCCTATTTTACAGACTTGGACAAATCCTAAATGTTGAAAAATAAAAAAGATTTATTAAAAAAAATCAAGTAGTTTTTATTTTTGCACGGACTTTTCAAACGACCCTCGTATATACGTACAAATTTTCTTAAGAAATAATATAACATTTGATATTATTCATTGAAACCAATTAATTTATTATTTTATTGTATTTAATTTTAACATAATACTATTCAATTACTTTTATTTATCCTTAATTATTAAAAAAAATTATTATTATCAGTTTTTTGTTAAAATTTTTTAAAAAACATTCAGCTAAGATTTTGATAAAATGTTATTTTGATTGTTGAAAGCCTTTCTAAGTGATGTACCGAGTTATTTTTTTTCGGCAAATCCGACTACCTAAAATTGTCTTCCAGCTCACGATAGGATAGATCTTACATTAGACTATAACGTGCTTGATCACTCGACAAACATTCAACCTATTGGAAAATTTTAGGAAACAATTTATTTAGTTAATTTATTCACCTGAATATTTTTGTTAAAAATAGTTCCTGAATCTTGTTATTACAAAAAATAACAAAAAAAAATATTTTTTGTTAAAAAACGTTTTTCGTCTTTTGAATTAGATTTATAAAGGTTACATATCATGATAACAAAAAGATTTGTTTTTTATTATAAGGAATAGACGAAATAAAATAGCACAGACTTAGGAATTATTGCGTGAATGATGAAAAAATAAAGAAAGTCTACAGTGTCATACTTTTAGAAATCTTCAGTTAATCAAATTTGATATTTTAAGAATGTCTGTTTCTATTTTTTGAAACGTTTGATATATTAGCATTAACGTTTAAAATTATAACTATATACTACTTCCATGAAAATAAGTAGTTCTTGAAATTTCTGTTGATTTTTCGGGATTTATATGAAATTACCTCTTTGAAAGTTCTATATTCGTCTATAATTCTATCATTAATGATATTTGTGATTTTAAAAGCAAATTTAATAATAAATTTTTATATTTCCAGACGTTTCAAGCTACTTCAGGATTTACGATACCAATTTCGCAGTACCAATCGCAAACTTCATCTACAACGGTATCAAATACTAACTCAACATATATGCCAGGTGGATATCAAAGTTCTTCATCTTTTCAACCCACGGCACAATCTTATCAACCTCCTCATACTACATTTACATCATCAATGAGTCAAGCAACGAGCGTGTACTCAAATCCAGTTCAATCGGTAATGCTACACTTCTAAAATTTATTTTTAATTATTTATATATAATATTATATATGAACTGTATTTAAGGGAGCCAGTAGGAGTTACACAATACATATTTTAAGTTTCCATTGCTATTGCTTCAAAATTGTTCCAAGACTTATATTTTCATTAAATATCTTTGGAAATGAATATCTTGTAATTTTGTTAGTTATTTGTTCTAAGATCTTAATTATATTTGCTATAAAATCTTTGTTTATATTTTATCTATCTCATTACAAATTTCGTGACATGCTTAATTCTGAATGCCAGGGTGCATGAAAAATATTTTTTTGAGGTGTATTTTCTTTGTTAAATCTGTACTTGAACTTGATCGTAAGCTATACATTTTTCCAATAAAGTCTCTACAGAGTTTTATAATATTTTTTACTAATGGTCCGATGAAATTCTTTTCTAAACTATCTCATGAGTCTGATAACATAATGAAATTGCCATAAAAAATATACTCCAATCAGTTTTGACAATTATATGCTTATCACCTTACATACTAAGAAAAAAATTAAGTTAAAAACATAAACCCAAGCATAATAAATACGTGAATATGCATAATAAGCTTTTTCTTTAATTTAAAGTATTACTATTGTTAAATGAATAGTCTACAGTATTAAATACATATATTTATGATGTCGCAACATCGAGATATTATTAGTTCACTTAACAACATCACTAATCAAACTATTAAAATAATATTTCCAGAAAAGTAATTACTTTTATACTCTTAAATGTATTTGACTATAATAAGGCATATCTGACACAACCTATGACTTATTACCGGGTCAACACACAACAAGCGAATGCAAGAGTGAAAATCGCTTTCCAATCGAGAAAAGGATCAAGTAACGAGTTAACACAATAATTGAAGCCAATAAAGATCTTTATTACAAAAAAATAAGTATACGTAGAATAAGAGCATTTGTCTCCTATGACGACAATGATATACTCTTCAGTTGAAAATATAGCTGTGGCCGTTAGCATGAACAGGCTGTTAGTATAATATCCAACGGGCACACTACGGTATGACGACGATGGCAGAATACACGTAGTACGAAAGTTGTGAATATACGTGTGCGAAATACTAATTTTTGTTGATAACTGATCCATGGAAAAGCATAGGGATCGCGAAACTCGGCAATGAAGGGGAGAGTGAGAGAGAGACAGCTTAACACTGTCGAAGATTGTTACTGTAGACCGCTGCTGTTGGTGGTAATAGCTTTGTTCTCTGCAGTTGAGGTGCATCAATATAACGATCGGTCAACTGCTGGTTGAACTAGCGCGCATTAAAGCTAGTGAGTGTTGACTGCAACCTACCATCACTTGCCTGCCGAACTGTAGGCGTTAATACCTCTGCCGACCTGTTCTCAACCTCATTCACACACTAGCGGTTAAAGTTCTCTTGCCGTTACGGCAGAGCGGAGTCCGTGAGCTAACTGTTCACTGGCCAACTCTAGCTCGCATGCTTTTGTCTTCAATGAAGGCACAAACATATATTGATCAGACATCAGTTCACGAGTCGTGAAGTTTGAAATCAAAAATAAACTTGATCAATTAAGCATCACTGGCACCGAACGAAGTTTGGTCGGAGTTTCTGTCTTGCGAATGATGAGTTTCATGCTTGACATAGATGACCGATGTTTTATTTTAGTTGACAACGCAGTTAAAAATTCAATTAAAGTGTCTGTGTCTTTAATGTTATAAGAGTTAAAAATTTAAAATTGAAGGAGCATCACATATACGAAGTCTGTCCGGAAAGTATTGGGCCTACGTTTATATTTTCGTGCTAGCGTTATTCTTTATCATCTGGTGGGTGGCATCCTTCAAAGTAATCCCCACTTGATTGAATAACACGGTTCCATCGATGTTTCCACTTTTCAAAACAGTCCTGGTACTCACTTTTAGGGATAGCCTTAAGTACACTCGTCGCATTGTTTTCAACCGTTGTTTTGTCATCGAATTGGTGTCCTTTGAGTGCTTTTTTTAGTTTTGGAAACAGCCAAAAGTCACAAGGGGCTATATCGGGACTGTATGGAGGTGTCGAAGCAATGCGATATTATGTTTGCTCGAAATTTGCTGCACAAGATTGGATGAATGCGCTGGCGCATTATCGTGATGGAGAAGCCAGTCACCACTTTCCAAAAGTGCGGCCGTTTTCTTCTTACTGCATCACGCAAACGTTTTAAAATTTGAACGTTGTATTCTTTATTGATTGTCTGACCTGTTAGTGCATATTTGTGATGTACAACACCTTCACAATCGAAAAAAACAATCAACATTGACTTAACATTGCTCCGACTTTGACGTGCTTTTTTTGGTCTTGGCAATTCAGAATGCTTCCACTGTGAAGATTGTTGTTTTGTTTCAGGATCATATCCATAAACCCATGATTCATCACCTTTAATAACTTTTCTAAGCACATTATCATCATTATTGACCATTTTCAGATTGTCCAGAGCGATTTCTAAGTGAATGTTCTTCTACTCTGCTGTGAGCAATTTTGGGATGAATTTCGCACATACGCGTTTCATTCCTAAATTATCGGTTAAAATTTCTGAAATGATAGTTTTTGGTATCTCAAGATCTTCTTCTAGTTTTCGCACAGTCATACGACGATTTTGTTCGATTGCAAGTCGCACCCGCTCAATATTATCTGCGGTTTTTGTCGTCGAAGGTCGGCCGGAACGAGAATCACTATCGACAGAAGTGCGGCCATCCTTGAACCGTTTATACCACTCTTTTATTCGTGTTTTGCTCGTACACTCGCTTTCGAAGGCCTTTTGCATCATTTCAATAGTTTCCGTACTCTTTTTTCCGAGTTGAAAGTAAAATTTGATGCAAATTCGTGGATCTTGTTTTTCAGTCATTTTTGACAATATCAAAATCCGACGAATGCGAAAAAGGCACTGTAAACAAAGACACGCTGCGCATGAACTATACATCCGACAGGTGTCAGTAAGTAACCAATAGATTCGTGAGGCTTTACTGTTGACGTTTCTGTCCGGTAGAGGTCGTTCGAGCACTATGGCGCGAAGATATAAACGTAGGCCCGATACTTTCCGGACAGACCTCGTGTTACCTGTCCTATCACGATGTTAGCACTTTAAAGCTGCTCATTCATGAAATACATTCGTATTAAAGTATGAAAGTTAATCGAATGAAAATTTTTTTATCTACCGATCTTTCCGAGCAAATTTCATGAAAAAATATATAAAAAGGCAATGTTGCAGTAACGTTTTTAAATTACCCTTAAAGACTGGGAAAAACATACAATATTAGCAACAACAATACAACAAAACTGAAATAATAATCTGTAAATCTTTCCTATTGAAACAATGAATTACATTATTTTACAAATTAAAAATTATTTTTTTATTACAGTGCACAAGTATCATAAAGATATCAAACCGACAAAGCTTAATTATAATATCGAACTAATCAAAAATTATATCAGATATAAACTGTTATTTCGGAAGATATTTTCCCTAGTTGGTATATTTACTTATTGTTAGTCAAGATGGTCTAATTAGAAGACAATATGAAATAATATGAGCAAAGACTGATATTGTTAATCTTAAGAAAATTTATAAATTTTCAGTTGACGTTGTTTGCGAAAACACTAGTCATGTATTTAAACTGACAGATTACTATAACTAACGTATCGGATACTAAACTATCCATTCATGACTAACAAGAAATCCTTGCGAGGTGTCCGTCTCCAATTTTTATGTAACTGTAATATGTTATATAACATAAAAACATAAAAGACATTTTTTCATCGGCGAAGAAACGTTTTTATGTTATGAAAAAATTTTATGTTGTGAAATGGCACTTTATAATAATTGTTAGCATCCTATATGGTTGCAACCCCTAATTTTTTTAAGCAAAAATGATGCTTTTTTTTCGAGTACCAGCTTTTCAAAATCATTTAAATTAAATAGAAATATAAATTTTTGTAATGACAACAGAAAATTTTAGTCAAGGTGTTTCGAGAATTTTATGAAAAAATCGAGTTATGGCAGTTACCTATCTCTATATTTATAAAAGTTCAAAGTTAATAAAAAAAAATATTCCTTTGTTGAGTAGCTATAATAAATGAGGTTTATATATATTTTAAAGTATGAAAGTAATAAAAGAGCCGTTCTATGATGATTATTTATACCCTAAAGTGTTAAAATTTATACTTTTGAATTTTACACTTAGAAAGCTTTTATTTTAGTTTCTTAAATCCCTGTGTGATAAATCTTACTAATAAGATAAGTGGAAAGAGATAATCTGAAAAAGAAAAACAATATCTGTGGAAAGCATCTGGTATTCTTATACTTTGATAAGCTGCTGTTTTCCTTTATTTAATTTCTATGATAAGTTCTACTCTTATCAGTATAAGTTTAGTAAAATAAGAAATTTCGACAATAAAAAACCACATGTATCAGAAGCATCTAGCAATAAGTATTTATGTTTCAATTGTGTTAATTGTAAGTATTCTAATATTTGACAACAATGAGAATCAATATAATAAATATAATTAATCTTCTACTAACAACATTTCAAGGTATGAATATACAACGAATTCTTGTTAACCATGCAAAATTAAAATTGAAATAAAATATTGAAAAAATTCTTTTGAGTACTATGGGTAACAAAATGTAAGCTCTAGAAGATAATACACTCGAATTGAAAGAAGAATAAAAAAATTGTGAAGCAATGGCCATGGAAGATAATATATGGTACAAATAGCCTACTGATTCTGATGAATATACCGTAGATGATGAAAAATTAAATTATAAATACAAAAAGAAAGCAGTTAACTACTAGAGATCTGCAAAGATGGAAAATCTATCTATTGGCACTGTTAGATAGAAGTATAAAAAAGTATTGCCTGAACGATAATTACGTTGTTAGGCAAACCAGATTTTAAAGACATTACATATATAGAAAAACTAAATGCAATTTTTAAATTTGTACTAAAA